TTCGAATCGTATTCGATCGCAGGTTCCGAAGCGTATTCTGGCCTACGTACAATCGTCGCATCAAATTGTAGGCATCGGACATCAATTTGTGCTTAAATATAGATTTGAGTCTCTGATTAAAATCGTCCTACTACTGGAGTGCTGCTTTTAGGAAACTATTCACTGGAAAGTCATTGTACACTCGAGCACGATTTGTATGAAATCGCACGATCACCGACCAAGAACTATAACAGCGCAGGTCTCAGAATATGCTTTCGAGGAGAGGGTGGTATCACGCAAGCTTCCCTCACTATTTTTACTGTTCTTTAGCTGCGATCACTGCCGTCTGAGGAGGCTGCTTAATCGAAGCAGTGCCAAGCACTACGTTTAACACCAATTTCCCAGCAATTTTGCCCCGCCACGGTGGTCTATAGTGGCTAAGGTACTCGGCTGCTGACCCGCACGTCGCGGCTTCAAATCCCGGCTGTGGCGGCTGCATTTCCGATGGAGGCGGAAATGTTGTAGGCCCGTGTGCTCAGATTTGGGCGCACGTTAAAGAACCCCAGGTGGTCAAAATTTCCGGAGCCCTCCACTACGGCGTCTCTCATAATCAAATAGTGGTTTTGGGACGTTAAACCCCACAAATCAATCAATCAATCCCAGCAATTTCGTGATCACCTTAGCAGATAAGATCCCACGAAGAATACACTTGATCCCAACGAATGAAAGGCTTAACATAGAGGGAGAGGGTGTAGAGTTTGTTGTAGGGGCGATTATTGCTGCTTAGAACAGCCAACGAGAAAGAGAACAACGCGCAATCTTGATTTTCACTGTTCTGAAACGTTCCGCTCGGCCTATGGGACGTTAGGCAGGTCGACGCTCGCGCGACTGTATATACCACACTACTTCGTAACGCATAATAGGGAAAATATCTTGAAAGTAGCCTTAGCCGTATCAACTAAGCGGCTGTCTATTACGACTAACACAACAGCTCATGGTCGTATCAATGTTGCAACATGTGCGCTAAGTTGAGGTTTAGTGCTGCCTACCTAGCAACCATAACGACCTCGTGCGAACTCTGCGAAATGCATATCTCTCACGTTATGGTCGTCACATACAGTCTACAAAAACACGCTAATAAGTTTATTTTATCACGGTGCAAATTGTAGAAAGCAATTTCTCTTGCAGATTTGAATACACCTCAACGAACACACGTTGTGTCCCCGTATAGAATATTGCGCTGTTCCTACTTCATAATGTTAAAGAAACCCAAATAGGACATTTCTGCAGTTCATTGCTACTACAATCTTTATTTAATATTATGATTTAGGGCACTTTAACATCACAAATTCAATAGTAAATTTCATGCAATATTAAATATTGACGCATATGATTCTACCTCATCCAGTGAATAGTCAGAACTGTGCTATACTTACCACAAACGATTTTGCCAAATGTACGCAAAAAAGCGGCATAAATGTTTTAAACCAGCAGCTTTCACAGATTGATTAAATCAATGAAACTCCAGCTCAATATAAAAAGCTGCGTCGCTCTCGGAACAAGGACAAACTGAAGGTGCCACTTCAGTGCACTTTTCGGTGCGTGTCTGGGTTTTGCGGCGAAACGTCGTAATGAACAACCAGATCGCGCACCACGTAAAGTTTGGTTTCTGCTTGTCGTGCTATATATTTAAAACCTGCCCGCACCTATTCTGGGCATCTACAAATTCCTAGAACTTGAAACAGACGTCGGTGATACACATACGCGTGCACAACAGTCTTTTCGCGGGGGTAGGGGGGCTCATTGCAGCGCCCCTGGGGGAAACTGCGCACACACTCGACCCCCCTCCGCTTCACGTGCGCATGCCCATAGAGATACAGGCGAAACGTAAGCATAATTCAGAACGTGAAAAACAGCAATTATCAAAGCAGGCGTGCCAGGAGACACCCGCCACCTATCAAATCCTGAATGACGTCACTGAGAAATTACGAAGCACGCCGTTCGGAAGGGGGGCTGCGGATTAATTTAGACCACCAAGGGATTCTCTAAGGCACACTGAAATCGTGCAGTTGATTTGATTGATTTGTGGGGTTTAACGTCCCAAAACCACCATTTGATTATGAGAGACGCCGTAGTGGAGGGCTCCGGAAATTTTGACCACCTGGGGTTCTTTAACGTGCACCCAAATCTGAGTACACGGGCCTACAACATTTCCGCCTCCATCGGAAATGCAGCCGCCGCAGCCGGGAATCGAACCCACGACCTGCGGGTCAGCAGCCGAGTACCTTAGCCACTAGACCACCGCGGCGGGACAAATCGTGCAGTGCGCGGCCCTTCGACAAAATGCGATCCGGGAATCATCGTATCAAGTGTTCTTCCTTCCTCGTGCTACCGCCGGCGGAAGACTGCTCTCCGCTTTCCCCGTTGGCGTTCGGCGAGTGCCTGCGGTACTCCTTCTCTGTGAGCGGCCGGCGTGTGAAGCGGGAGTGGTGCCGGGACGCCGTGCCGAATGGTGACCACGTCGCTGGCCAAGAGTAAGGTTTGCTTGGCCACCTTCACCGCCTTCTGCGGCGCCGTCCTCGATATCGCCCCCATCGAAATGTGACCGCCGCTGCCGGGGTAGAACCCGTGGCCTCCGGGTCAGCAGCCGAGTACCACAACCTCTGCCCCGCCGCGGTGGTCGAGTGGCTAAGGCACTCGGCTGCTGACTCTAAGGTCATGGGATCGAATCCCGGCTGCATTTTAGATGGAGGTGAAAATGATGTAGGCCCGCGTGCTGAGATGGGGGTGCACGTTAAAGAACACCAGGAGGTGAGAAATTTCTAGAGCCCTCCACAACGGCGTCTTTCATAATTCATATGGTGCTTTTGGGACGTTAAAACCCACGTATCATAATCACAACCACTGCTCCACCCCGGCGGAAAGTGCTCAAGATGGGTAAGGTCGTGGGAATGTTGTGACGTAAGTATCCAAAATACGGCTGACACCATTGATAATGTTTGCAGTGTGTACTGTCCTGCTTATATTGTCGGTCATTGCGTGAAATATATGAACACATATAGTACTGGTAACAAACATAGCTAACAGACCACTGTCCAAGAGGTAAATTGGTGAGCGGCATGGTGTTTCGAGTGACCCGCATTACTCGGCATTCTATGACATATATATCCATGCACCACATTTTGCACACTGAGCTGGACGCGAACCACGTCGGATTGGTTAGTACAAGCTTACGGCACTTGCATATAGTTAATAATGAAAAAAAAATTACGTAAACAGGTGTGTGCTCTAGCCAACCTCTTTCTGCACATTGTTTCATGGCAAGCTTATAAGCTTGCCATGAAAAAAGATCTATATATAGATCTTTTTATGACGTTTATTTGCATATAGTTCATATAGGACAGATAGACTTCCTGCCAGAGGCAGAATAATTTTGGAGCGTTTCAGTCAACAAGTCAGTGAGAACATTACACGTCGAAGAAAGTTTTTAATCGAAGCCGCAGGCTGAAATCGATTAGAAAAGTTATGACAACAGATCAGCTCCATTTACGTGTCGCGATTATTTTATTTTTTTTTGTCTCGTGCCAATAACACCATACATCATCCTTGTTTTGTGTAAAGTTCGTGCGGAATGCCTGCTGCTCTGTCAGCATACGGGAAACTGACGTCATATTAAGCGGGCAGCTTGAGCAGCGCACCAGCCACGCGTTTGTTAACATGCGCGCAACTTCGTCGGTCTATTCGCAGGCTCGCCATACCCTACGGTGTCTCTCGTAATCTTAGGGTGGTTTAGGGACGTTAAATCCTGAGAATTATAATTAGGTTATTGACTATAGAAACCACATTGGCTCGAGGACAGGCGTATTTCTTTTGCGCGCATCGTTTCGGACGCGTACTGTGTCCACACGCCGCTTTTATTAACGCTACACTCTTAAAAGAAAGGAAGTGCTACTTTCTAAGTTTGAGGTAGCAAATTGTTGTCACAACAATCACTAGCTAAGTAATTAAATTACTTCAGGTATAGTAGGTCACAGACGTTTAGTATCTTAGACGCAACCAGAGGTAGTAAATGACTGTTGCCTACTACCTGCTGTTACTACTTAGGTAGTGAATGTTGTGACAACAATTTACTACTTCAATGTTACTAAGTAGCACCACCTTTTTTTTAAAGAGTGTAGGCATGAAATGAGAGGCTGAGCGAAAAATTTTTTTCTACGAAAGCGGCTGATGTGTACATGACTTGCCAGCGCCTAGAAAACTCGCTTCAGCGCACAGATATTTTCAGCAGACAGCCAAGGGATTAAAAAAAAGAAGAAAAACTGGAGGTGGTCATTGCCATCGCCAAGTGACATGTAACATCGTGACCTTCTTGTCTCTTTGGCGTCGTTATGTTCTGGCGCTATAACTATCGTCAGGCAAGCGAGGCGGGTTTCGCGCACATGACACGCGAATTCGACGATAAAAGAAAACCAGACATGTGTCGATTAGTAACGAGCGCATTTTGAGCGTTGAGTACCGCTGCGTCAGCTAGTATACTATAGACAGTGACCATAAAAGTGTGCGAAAGCTAGAGCATCAAACAAAAATACGGGGCTAGAAAAAAAAGCAACAACAAAAAGGAAACGTGTAAATCACGTGAAGAAGACGTGTCATGTCAAACGTAGGTCAAGAACTAGTTAAAGCCAGAAGTAGCTGATGCTACTTCTATGCGAAGAAAACGAGACCCAAATCAAGCAAGGAAAATGTCGCAAATTAGGGCACTGCGTAAACGGCGTGACACCTTGCTGAGGTAATCGAAATCCGCGCAGAAAAGCGTATTCCGTCTTCGACTGGAGTGTATGCAGTCGTCACAACGGGAATTCATAAACAACGGAGAGAGAGAGTGAAGTGTAGCAAGGTCTTGTTGCTGCTGCGGCGTGGTGAGAGTCGAGACGCGCGAGAGAGGGGGATCGGCGGGAAGGGACTGCTGCCGTGGCGAGGAGGCGGCCGTACATAAGCCATCCTTGAGCGGGAGGCCGTTTTTGACATATCAGCCGCTGCTGCAGCCGGGTGCGGGCCAGCAGCCGACCGCAGGTGAGAGGAGGCGCGTCACAGAACCCCCGACATTGCGGCACACGGCGGAATCATCGCCTCAGCAGCGCGTGCTCTTCTTCCTCGTGCCGGCGGAAGACTGCTTTCCCCGTCCACACTCGGCAAGTGCCTGCTTCTCCGTGAGCGGCCGACTTGTGTTTTGCCTGTGAGGCGTGAGCGGTGCCAGGACGCCGCGCCGATCGGTGACCATGTCGACGACCAAGAGCAAGATTTGCTTGGCCACCTTTACGGCCATCTGCGGCGTCGTCCTGTTGGTCGGAGTGCTGGGACACATCTACTTCCCGACCATCATGCGCGGCAAGGTAGCTGAGGTAAGAAACACCTGAGCGTGCCTTTAAGGGACGGAAGTAAAAAAATCCAGTTCGTGGCCTACCCAGTACGTAGGATGACGGATTCACCTTCTTGTAGGGTTTAACGTCCCAAAACCACCATTTGATTATGAGAGACGCCGTAGTGGAGGGCTCCGGAAATTTTGACCACCTGGGGTTCTTTAACGTGCACCCAAATCTGAGTACGCGGGCCTACAGCATTTCCGCATCCATTGGAAATGCAGCCGCCACAGCCGGGATTTGATCCCGCGACTTGTGGGTCAGCAGCCGAGTACCTTAGCCACTAGAACACCGTGGCGGGGCAAGGGGGGCATATTGCCACAGAGACTAATTACACTATCCGACATTATGAAGAATCAGCGTCCACAGTCTTGTGCGCACTCATTCTCCTTTCCCCCACCCCAAGTGTAGGGTAGCCAACCGAGCCAAGCTTGGTTAACCTCCCTGCCTTTCCTCTCTATTTATCTCTCTCTCTCCTGCTTGTGGCCGCACGACTTGTGCCTCTTGTTCACTGGCACGAGTCAGTGTGGGTTGGAGCTGCGAAGAAGAAGAAGGTGCGTTGGCGGATGAACAGTTTTTTTTTTTTTGAACGCTCTAGCGGACTTTTCCATTTTTTCGCACATAATTTTCAGGGCACAAGTTCGCCTATAATAAACTAGTTTTTGGTGTTCCTTCTCTTGCACCCGTTACAATATGACTGTCGTTTCTTCATACTGAGATGGTCGAGACGTCTATGAAATGCTTGAAGCGCTCTGCAAACACGGTCACTGCCCCAAGTCTGACAATTCGTTTGAAATTTAGAAACCGCGTACGGTATACTTGTTTCCTGATCTGGACTACAAGTTGTTGACGACGTCTTGTCCTTAAGTGCTCCGGTAAATAACCTAATAGTGTTCCTTGATCACTTGGTCAGTGACTGTGTTTCAATTCATCCAATGACCGACGAGACGAACTTTCGTCGAATTTTCAAGTGTACAGCATTATTTAGACACTTCTGTTTTGATTTAAGGACATTTTTTTATCAGTCTCTTCATGAATATTCAATCATTTTTCCTCAATGTGAACGATGGGTGGTCTAGCATGCTGGAAGTTTCTATAAGGAAACTGTTATGTTAAGAAACGTTACCGTGTGGTGGCTCGTACCTTTTCTCCATCCTGTTCAGCCGCATACAATTAATTTCACGATGGGGATTTCGTAGAGTGAAACTAAAGAAGTGTGCTATTCGAACAAGACGAACGCGATAACAGTTTATCCGAGGAAACGAACCTCGACTGTTGTCAGCTACATCTATGTCCCCGCACTTTCGTACGCTATGTTTATAGCGAAAACACCAGCAAAGCGCGAGGAGCTGTCTCAAGCTCCTTATCTATCGTGGCCCCCATAGTTTCACCAAGTGGGCATTCATGCCACAATGAACGTCAAAGCGACAGTGTTTCGCAAGTCTCATTCTCTTTCGAACAATGTTCATTCGAAAACATCTTTTTCAGGAATGCCACAGATTAGCCCCCCCCCCCCCCCCCAAAAAAAAAAAAAAAAAAAAAAACGTCTAGTCATGGGTAATCACTTTCATATCGCCCGACCATGTATTCCCTGGAGCTCGGAAAACGAGCGACAAGATTCACAAGAAGTTGTAAAGAAACCACCACGGTATGATCATCTGTGTTAACGAACAACCGATGAGGTTGACTAGTGGTTATGGCGCAGGCATTGTTATCCGACGGTAATGGGATCGAATCCCAGCCATGACCTCGATGGAACCGAAAATGCTAGAAGCCCATGTACTGTGTGATGTCTGTGCACTTAAGAGCACACTGAAGAGAATTGTTTTTGATAAGCTCATTATCAGTGGAGAAACTCAACGTTGAAGTTTCGTTTTTAAATTTTGCGCTGAAATCTACGCGCGCGACGTCAGAAATTTCAAAATGTATTTTGAAATTGGCTCGTCGAAACTTTCTCTGAAGCTTCGTATGTTAGGTCTATAGCACCCGCCGATGACAAAATACTTCATTTTAATCGATTAGGAGCTACGTAGGACCCGGTATACTCCTTCAAGATCGATGACGTCATGGTGTTTGATAAGAGTAACTGCGTCTCTATCCGCATTTTTTTTTTCGCGTGTGTTTACTCGCTCACCAATCATCGTGTCGTGGTAAAAGTGGCGTTTTCGTGCTTGTGAAATTGTACTTTACTAATACGCGAAAAATTGTTTTGCTCTTTAACGTCCCTTCAAATAACACCATATATTACCGAAAGTTTCGAAGCCCGGTTCCTCATAATCACGTCGTGGTGTTGGAACGTTAACACCCAACAATTGCCATTATGTTAGTCTATAAGGTTCTAGAAAATGTGTCGCTTTGCTATATGAATTACGCGTTGGAAGGCTCGCGTATTTGTTGCAGCGAGAACATTCCTGTCTCGTTGCCCAGTTTCACCCCATTAAGGGACATGTGCACTTCTCCCCACAGTGCTCGGGACAGATGATCTAAGCCTCCGGATGCTTTAAAACTCGCAGCAGGCGCTCTAGGAGAGTTTAAAATGGTCAATATCACGTGTAGATGTATTCTACATTGTATCTGGACATGATAATGAAGAGATTATTATGATAACGACTCTGAGAATACATAAAAAATGAATGCGACGGCGGTGGCAGGCGCGACTTGCCGATCTAACCATGGGAAGTCAGATGGCGAGCTTGGGCAACGCCACCTATAGACTACTGAATGCCCCCGCACTCCTCCGTGACGTCACCACACTCAGCCCGTACGCGGCGCTTCTTGACTGCGGTCGCTTTACCTATAAACACAGCTTTTTCTTTAATTCACGTTAAATAAGTCAACACGACGATCAAGAGGCTAATGCAAGGCTGGGTCATATCTTGGGGCATTCCACCGTAGAGGTGCCTTTTGTCTCGACCACATATGTACATTCGCACATATAGCTGTAGTGCGTCCTCGTATTTTTCGCTGCCTTTTGCTGTTATCTGTTTGCGGGACATGACAGCTGGTGCTTGTCACCGAATGCTACGCAAGACAGGCTTGGGTAAGGCTACGCGAGGGCCTGGAGGAGGGACCACACTCGCGGGAGTCCATCTGCTGCTTTGTTATATAGAAGTCAATTTTCGATGAGGTGCACAAGCGTTACTTTCCATGCAGCGTGGTGGAGGTGTCACGGAAGGAGCGAAAAATGGCAAACGAAAGAGAAGGTGATGCATATACGCCGGGCCCGGAAGGCCATCGCACGCAACTTTAAAATACGAAGCTGAAGCGTCCACCAATGACATCACGGCTCGTGTTGTCACAAGAAGGTGCTGGGAAATCGTAAAAGGAGCAGCAGTGAATTGCGCGAAATGCAACTGTGAATCTTGATGCGCATTTCCGCACATAGCGGGTGTGCTGCTGCCGTTACGCAGAGAGCCGACTCGTGGAGGCGTACGAGTATGTCAAGAAAGAAGAAGGCAGGAAGCAAAAGACTGAAGCTTCCAGTGAAATATTTCTAAAGAGGGTGTGTGTGCTAAAGCCGACGTGTGGAAAAGCGGACTTTAAGGACGCATCTTTGCAGAAATTTAAGCGGATAGACACACAACATAATTAGAACTAACGGACAAGAAAGCCGAAAAAATTTGCGGGGTGTTAATTGTAGTAACCAAGATGCAACAAGATACAGCTCTGAAGTGGATGAAAAGACAACCTGCTACCGGCAAGTATCAAACCTTTGACCCCCCCACAATAACGCGTCCGATGCATCGGACGCGTACAAAAGACAAGTCTACTTCTCGAAACGCTGGTTTCAGCATGCACACCCGGTTTATAAAATTTTCGTTAAGAGTTTATGATTTTTTCATTACAACACAATAAGCACGAGCCATTATCCCCTTTTCTTTCTTTCGTACCTTTCGTGCTCCCTGTCCACATCAGCGGTGCATATAAGCCCTTCTCCCATAGCGCTTGTAACTTGTAGCTGGCACCTCCGCAAAAGTGGTTTTATAAACTTCTAGCGCCCTCGAAACTGGCGCTCGAGTGGACGGGTTGGCGATCTGCCCGAAATAAATGCCTTGGCAACCAAGGAATGGCAATTCGCTCGCACAAGCTGGTCACTTATCACTGTGGCATTTATATTGGAAACAGCTGTATAATTACTTTCGTCCAGAATGTCCGGGTATATTTGCATAGAATCGGGAAGTACGCCTTTTAAGTCGTTTTATTTATTTGGTCTCTAGCAATGTCGCTATCACGTATTTGATCGATCATCAGTACTGCATGCTAATCGGAGACGAAAACACAAAATCGTGGCATTGTCACTTTCTTCTATCACCATATTGTGTTTTATTATTTCTACGCGAGTAGTGAGAGTGAGTGTGTGTACAGCGGCGTCACATTCTTCCCGAATGCTCGTTGAGCGGTAATCGTCTTTCAATGGCCTTTATTACTCGCTGTGTGCGCAGCCGATTCTGTTGATGCGAACTTCCATGAGTCACCACTGCGGTCTCCCACATTGCCTGCCATCCCCTCTCCATCGCTATGACGGTCGTTTGTATCATTGCCTTCGTCCTCTATGACCAAGTTAGTCTTTGTCACCATTTCAGTGTCAATTATTAGTCTTTATCATCATCGCATTGTGGGCACCTTATTATGGAGACATGAGATGCGTCTTCTCTCTTTGAGCACGTATAAAGCAAAGTACGATGCACCTTCAGATCATCTCAGACATTTTCGTTTCATCACAACGCTCGAGGTGAGGAAATTCAGCACCGTGCGATCTGGTAGCAACTTACGAGATCGATAATAGAAGCTGCAAAATCACAATTTAAAAATTATTGCGCAATCGTAATAGCACGAAATAGCGAATTCACGGGTGCTGTGCTTTTTTTTTCATCAGACGATACCACAGCTCGAGCACGAAGACCAAGAGATAGCTCGCACCGGCCATTTCCCACATACTCCCTGTATAAACATGCAAAAAAAACTTGTTTTTTTTTTCTACT